AGTCTGCCATGTTGGAATGTGAGATCTAATGCCAATGAGGTCTGTCCTCCTAAGTGGTAAGGTGGGCGTGGATTCCTCATAGTAGGATGATTGCCTCCTCTCTCTCTCTCTCTCTCTCTCTCTCTCTCTCTCTCTCTCTCCCTCTCTTCCCTATCCCTCCCTCCCCCCCCTTCTCTCTCTTGTACCTGGAATCAAACTCAGGGCCTCATCCCTGACCTTTTTTTTCTCTTTTTAAGTTTCCCACTCTTTTTATGTTTTTTGTTGCCATCCTCAATTTTTACTTACTCATGACCCCTTATTTGTACTTCATGTCTTTTCTGTGCTAGTTCTCCTTGAATGCTGACTATAGCCTCATGCTGTCTACATTTTTGGAAATGTTTTCCAATTTCTGCCTATAATCTGATGCTTTTCATATATCTGGAAGCATTCCATATTTTTACTTACAGTTGGAGTCTTCCATATTGCTAATTTTTTTTAAAGATTCTGTCCTACCTTTAGCTAGAACAGTTTGTGCCAGAGCCTCCCGTAGACTTAAGGAATAGCTCCCCGTAGTTCACTGGCCCATTCCTGACACAAATAACTGTGAACCAGGAGCAAAGAACAGAATTCCCTGGCATAAAGAAGAGGTGTCTAAGCCTGTTCCCTCAGCAGGAATAGAGTAGCCCAGGCTCCCATAGAATAATCAGTACTTGTGGCAAGCACCGTAATTTCCATATTTACATAGTGCAACCATTAGCCTGAAAAATATTTCTAATTGAAAAAGCAAGGCCAAGATAAAAGCAATTTTATACATATTGTATTTCTATAACAAATTGCATGTTACAAAAATAACATTTGATTGCAAGAACATTTGAAAATATGTAGAACCAAAAAGAAGAAAATAAAATATTCCCAATCCACATCAGGCACGATTTTCTGTGCATTGTTCTTTAAGTGGTCAGTGTGTAGTAAGAATTAAAAGTGCTATTAAAGGGCCGGGGATTTAGCTCAGTGGTTCCAACACCTGCCTTGCAAGCGCAAGGAGCCAAGTTCAATCCCGGTACCCCCCCCCGCAAAATGCTATTAAAGTTCACAGAAATAGAAGGTAACTATGACTAGGAGATAAGTGGTCAAAGTGTTCTAGTAGGAGTGCAACAGAAAAAGACATAGGAAAGAGCTCTGTGCTATAGATAAAACTTTGATAAACTTTTTTGCTTGTTAGTTTGTTGAAGATATATGCCTAGTCCTAGCTATGGTGTAGAGAAACAGGCACAGTGCTCTATTGATAGGAATATATATTGGAAAATATTTTAGTACAAAAATTTCATGAGATATTGAAATTTAGAGCATGCTGACTCTTTGATCTGGCAGTTTCATTTTTAGGCATTAATTATACAGATACAAGCATGTAAGTGTGCAAAAAAGTGCAAAAATTTTTTTAATTGCAATTATTCATTTCTTGAAAGTTTCGTAGAATTTACTAGTGAGGTCATCTGGGCCTGAAGTTGTATCGGTTTTTTGTTCCCATCACTGAGACACAATACCCAACACCTACAACTTAAAGAGGGAGAGGTTTACTTTGGTACACAGTTTCAGGGCATTGTAGGGTCTGCAGGCTCCAAGGCAGGAACATCATGTCAGAGTGGCATGCCAGATTAAAGATGTTTGTTTATGGTGACTGGGAAGCAGATCATTGGGACAGTGCCAGAGAGGAAAGGACCAGGGACCAAATATAGTCAAGGTCACACCTATATGATCCACACAAAGACACCTACAAGTGTGCTTTGCTAATCCTCTTCTAGCTATCTCCCAAGCCAATTAAGTTGATAATTAACTGTAACCTTCAAAAGAGTTTTCTTTTTTTTTCTTTTTTTTTTTCAGGTTTACTTGAGTTTATTGGTACATTTTAGGGATACAATACAGTTACATTCATTGTTGGGATCTTGTACCTCTACACGACAAGTCTTGATTCTCATTTTTTCCCCTTACCTCTGCCCTCCCTTCACCTATGGGAAGAGTTTTGAGGATTGACTCGATTCTTTTCTTTTCTTTGTTTTGTTTTGTTTTTGTTCTCACTATGCAGTTCAAGTTGGGCTTGAATTCACTATGTAGTCCAGCCTGGTCTTGAACTTGCAGTGGATCCTCCTGCAGTGCTGGTATTACAGTTGTGCACCCCTATGTAGAATTTGATTGAATTTCTTGAATAGTTATAAGAACTTGTTAAATTTTGTTTAATTTTTCAGTCAGTTTATGCCAGAGTTTTCATTTTCAGCAGGAGGTTAATCCAGATATCTGTCCTGCCAAATATCACTTCATATTACAACAGTATTAACTCTAAATCTCTAATTTTGAGTTCATATACACATTTTAAGAAAAGATTCTCTCGTTTTTAACCTGAATGAGGTTTAAATGAAGCATTTATTATTTACTAACATTATTTATTTTATTTTCTAGCTACAACGTCCACAACTACCACCACCACTGTTACCACCAACACCACTACCACAATTACCAGTGACTTTAATCTGAATCTAAGATCACTGACATCAACTGGGATTAATAACACTGATCTAGGCAGTGTTTCTTCTGTACCTCTTACTTCAACTGTTAAGTAAGTCTATTTATTTTAAATTCATTTGAGTTTCATTTTATCACTTTGGAGACAGTTTGCTTGTGTTGCTTTGGAATAGCATTTGAAGTTAGATAAGTTGAGTTCAGGTAACTGAGAAAGGTTGCTGTAGCTTAAGTAGTTGAATAACCAACAGTCTTTTGAATAACATTATAATGCATTCATTAACATTACTAATAATAACTACTATTGTTTGTATAATTACTATATATTTAGCAAGATGATAATGGTTTAAAAACATCATTTAATCCTCACAATAACCCTACAAAATAAGGAATATTTTTGTTCACACTTTATATGTGAGAAAACTAAAGCACATGCAGATTTTATGAGTCTAATTTATTCATGGTTACATATTTGATAATGATTGAGCCAGGATTAAAATCCGGGGAGTTAAGCTCTAGCAGGTGTGTTAAACTTGAGGCCTTCAGGGTTTGTTTGTTTTTTTGCCTTCATTTCTTCTTTAATATTGTAATGAAAATATTTAAAAAGAAGTTTTATTACTTATATGTTAACTATATTATAAATTTTATATGTGACCCAAGACAATTTCTCTTTATTCAAAAAAACGAGGGCAAAATTACTATGAAGCCACAGGTTGGACACCCCTACTCTAGAGCTTGTATTGTTATAGACTGTACAAAACATCTGTGTGTCCTTTATATAATTTCCCTCAATGATAACAACTTAGAATACTATAGTATAATATCACAACCAGGATTTGACATTCAGACAGTTAAGATACAGAACATTCCATCACCACAAAGATTTCCCTATTGCCCTTTTATAGCCACATGTGTTACCTTCTCCTGATTCCCCGACCACATTAATCGGGCCACAATTTAATCTTCTCATTTCTATAATCATGACATTTCAAGAATGTTCTACAGATGGATACATACATGTGTGACTGCTGAGGATTGGCATTTTTCATTCACCGTAATTCTTTGAGATCCACACAAGATGTTCTTTTTCATTTCTGAGTAGTATTCTATGGTATTGTGGTGTACTGTGGTTTGTTCCGCCACTCTCTTGTTAATGTACATCTAGGCTGGTATAAACACTTATATAAATTTGTCTGTGTACACAAGTCTCTTGCCTCTGGGATAAATGTCGGGGAGTATCACACTCAGTGGTATGATAATTGTGTTTATTTCAAAGAGTTACCAACTACTTTTCCAGAGTGGTTATGTCATTCTATGTGCCAGCCAGCGCTGTATGAATGATCTGGGTAGCTCATATTCTTGTCAGGTTTAGGTATTGTCACTATTTTTTATTCCAGTGCTTCTGATAGATGTGAAGTTAGATTTTGTTATGATTTGAAATTGCATTCCCTTGATAACTAATAATGTTGATCATCTTTTCAAGTGTTTGTTTGTCATCATTATATCTTCTCTGATGATATGTTTGTTCATACATTTTGTCAATTTTCTACTTTGGTTATTTGGTTTTCTGCTGTTTAGTTTTGAGAGTTTGTTATGTATTTTAGATACCAGTTCTTTGTCAAATATGTTTTATAATTATATTCTCTAATTTGTCTATTCATAGTCTTAATATTATTTTTGTTAAACAAAACCTTAGTTGAAGTATAATTTGTCAATTTTTCCTTTAATAGATTGTACTTTTAGTGTCAATTATAATAGAACACTTTGCCCAGTTCAAAGATTTCCTCATACATTATTCTAAAACTTTCAGTGATCCATTGTGAATTAATTTTTTTTTTTTTGGTACCCGGGATCGAACTCGGGACCTTGTGCTTGCGTGGCAGGTGGTGGCACCACTGAGCTAAGTCCTCTGCACGTGAGTTAATTTTTACGTAAAGTGTGAGATTTCGGTCAAATTAATTTTCCCCTATCAGGAATATATAACACTTGGCTTGCCTGGGCCACATATAAAATATGTAATATAGCTAATGTATGTAAATAAAGTTTCTTTTCTTATATTTGTTATTAAAAATATAATAACATTATAATGTTTTTCATGTTATATTATTTAATGTTAATAAGACATTAAAAAACAGAAGGCAAAGGATATGTGGGCTGCAAATTGGACATACCTGGCCAATGTTCAATTTTTTCAGTATCATTTGTTGAAAGGCTATCTTCCTCTACTGAATTACTTTCATACTTTTTTTTTCTTTTTTGAGACAAAGTCTTACTATGTTGCCCAGGCTGGCCTAAAACTTTTGGGCTTAAGGGATCTTCCTGCCTTAGCCTCTCAAGTAGCTGGGACTATCGGTGTGTGCCAATGTGCCTGGCACTTTTGCACCTTTGTCATAAATCATTTGGGCATAATTATGTCAAATTCCTTTAGCATTGTTTGAGATATTTTTCTTTATCTTAGGGCCATACAGGATTATACTGATTGGCTTTCAGATGTGCATCCACATCTTGTTTGATCATGCTATAATGTTTTTTGTGTGAGCTTTGTTGTAACATGTAACATTGCTATTAACATGCTATAATAATGTGTGTGTGAGTTTGTATATGTATTTTGATTTGGCTTGCTAGTATTTGCTTGTGAGCAAAATTCATGAGAGATATTAATTTGTGATTTTTTCTTTTTCCTTGTCTTTGCTTTTGATTTATTTTATTTTTTATCTTTATTAAGTTTATTGGAGCTGGGCATGGTGGCTCATGCCTATAATCCCAGCACTTGGGAGGCTGAGGCAGGAGTATTGCTGTGAGTTCAAGACCAGCCTGGGCTACCTAGTGAGTTCTTGGTCAGTCTCAACTACATAGTGAGACCCTGTCTCAAAAAAAAAGTTTTTTGGTACGTTTTAGGTATACAATACAGTTACATTCATCATTGTACCTTTACATGACTTATCTTGGTTCTCATTTTTCCCCATTCCCCAGCCCTCCCTTCACCCCCTCCACCTTTCCCTGTTTACATAGATACTGTTTCCATGTTTTTCCTTTTCACATATTTTTTCTTTTCCCTTTTTTCCTTTCCCCTACCCCTCCTATTTCATCTACTCCTTTAGTTCTTTTCTTCCTATTATACAATATCAATTATATATTTTAATCCGTTTTTTAATATTTTTTCTCATTGAGTTTATTGGTACATTTTAGGTATACAGTACATTTACATTCATCATTGGGATCTTGTACCTTTACACTACAGGTCTTGATTCTCATTTACATTTTAATCCTTATTTACACTTTTAGTTTTTCATACCAGAGAAACTATTTGGTATCTACACATGTGTGACTTATTAATTTCACTTAAGAGTATGGCCTCAATGTGCATCCACTTAGCTATAAATACCTCTAGTTTCTCATTTCTGTGGCTGAGTAGTACTCCATTTTATTTAAAAAACACATCTTCTTTATACAATCTCCAGTTGGTGGGCAACTGGGCTGTTTCCAAGCTTTAGCTATTACAAACTGTGCTGCTATAAACATGGGTGAGTATATACCACGGTGGTATGATTCTTTTAATTCTTTTGGAAAGATACCCAGCAGAGGGATGGCTGGGTCAAATGAGACTTCTAATCCTAGTTCTTTGAGGTGTCTTCATATTGATTTCCATAGTGGTTGCACGAGTCTGCACTCCCATCAACAATGGAGAAGGGTTCCTTTCTCCCCACAGCCCCGCCAACATTTGGTATTGGTTGATTTCTTGATAGCAGCCATTCTTTCTGGGGTGTGGTGGAATCTCAGTTTTGTTTTCATCTGCATCTCTTGAATGACCAGTGATGTTGAACATTTTGTCATATGTTTATATGCTGCTTTTTACTTCTTTGTCTGCGAAATATCTGTTAATTTCAGATGCCCATTTTTGAGTTGGGTCTTAATGTTCAGGGGTCTGATTTTTTTTTAGTTCTTTATATATTCTAGATAGTAGACTTTTGTCTGAGGAACAGCTACTAAAATTTTTTTTCTCACATTGTGGGTTATCTTATAACTCTGTTGGTAATTTCACTTGCAGTGCAGAAGCTCTTAAAAAGAATGGCATCCCAGTTGTTGATTCTTTGTGCTAGTTCCCTTGCTACTGAAAATTTGTTCATAAAAATATTTTCCTATGCAATATCTTCAAGAGTTCTACCTAACTTATCTTCCAGCAAGTTTAGTGTTTCTGTTTTAATATTTAGATCTTTAATCCACTTCAATTTTAGTTTAGTGCATGGTGGAAGATACGGGTCTAGTTTTAGTCTTTGACAAATTGAAATCCAGTTTTTCCAACACCATTTATTAAAGAGGCTATCTTTCCTCCACTGAGGATGGTTGGCACCTTTGTCAAAGGTGCTTTTGATATCAGAGTAATTTTAACATTAAAAATGATCCAGGAAGTAGTCTTTTTTCTAGAATAAATAGGTTAATTTGGTATTGATTGTTTTTGTTTTTGTTTTTTGGTTTCTTTGTTTATTTTTCTTTTATGAGACAGAGTCTCATTTTGTAATTCAGGCAGGCCCTGAACTCACTATGTAGCCCAGGCTGGCCTCGAACTCCTGGTGATCATCTTGCCTCAGGCTCCTGAGTTCTGGATTACAGGCCTGTGCCACCACTTCCAGCTTGGTGTTTATTATTAAATGTTGGCAAAATTCTTTTTTTATTTAATTCATTAAATTTATTCTGACATTTTGGTATTTATTATGATCACATACATTATTGAAAATTGTACCTGAACATGATACATCTTAGTTTTTATTTTTTCATGTTCCCCTCCCTCCCTTCAACCCCTTCACCCCTCCCTGCAATACTCTTTAAGTGAATAAATAGGACACACATGTGTAAATGTCCAATTGTTTCTCTGGTGTGAGAAACAAAAATGTAAATGAGGACCAAAATGTCTAATAGATATTGTGAAATAGGAAGAAAATGTTCAAAGGGAGTGGGAAATAGTGAGAAGGGACAGAGGAAAGGAAAGGGGGAAAGAAAAAATTTAAAAAGAAGAAAAAATGGCAAAATTCTTCAGTGAAACTATCTGAGCTAAGACAATTCTTTTACAGAATCTTTTACTTACAAATCAATTTATATCCTGGTTCTAGAATTGTTCAGGTTTTCTATTTCATCTTCAGTGAGTTTGAGTAGTGTGTAGTTTTCGAAGAATTGGTTCATTTTTCCATCTTAAATTTATGAATATAAAATTGTTCATAGTATTCTTTTATTGTACTCTTAATAGTCATGGGGATATTCCAGTGTCATTTCTAATATTCTTTCTAATTGTTTCATTTCGAATATTATTTCTTGTACTATCAATTTTATTGATCTTTTCTCATAGAGCCAGCTTTTGTTTAATTGATTATTCTCTGTAGTTTTCCTTTTTTCATTTGAATCAATATTTACACTATTATTGTCTTCTTTCTGGTTGCATCAGTTCATGTTGCTCTTTTTATAGTCTTTTGAAGTCTGAACTTAGACTTTGATGCCTTTGTTTTCTAATATAAGCACCTAAGGAACTAAATATCTCTCTCAGCACTACTGTAGCTATTTCCCACATATTTCATTGTTATATCTTTATTTCATTTCTAAATACTTACAAATTTTCTTTGAAAACTCCTCCTTCACCCATGGATTATTGAGAAGTATACTGTTTGGTTTCCAAGTATTTAAGGATTTTCTTGGTTTTTTCCTGGGTTGATTTCTAGTTTGATTCTGTTTTGATCAGAACATGACCAGTATGATTTCAGTGTTTTTTTATTTGTTCATCTTTGCTTTATGGGTAAAGAAATGATCTGTCTTGATCAATATTCTATTGACACTTTAAAATTCTATTTTCTACTGTTAGGTGGACTGTTCTATATATGTGAGACCCTGTTGTTTTACTGTATTTTCAGATTCTGTATGTGCCTTTTTGGCTTTTCTGTCTAGTAGTTCTTTCAGTTGTGGGGAGTGGCTTTTTAAAATTCCCAACTATTATTTCTCTCTTTAGTTATATCAGTATTTGCTTCATGATTCATGAGGCTCTGTTGTTTTCTTGCTTCTACATTTAAAGTTAGCCTTTCCTGGTGCCTTGATTCCTTTACTGTTATGTAATGACCCTCTTTGACTTTGGTAATTCTCTTTGCTCTATAGTCTACTTTATCTGGTATTATTATAGCAATTCCTTTTCTAAAATTAATCTTATATCTTTTGCTGTTCTTTTACTTTCACCCTCTCTACATCAGTGTCTTTGAAGTGAGTTCTAGTAGAGGGCATATTATTGGATTGATTTTTAATCCATTCTACCAATCTCTATCTTTTAATAGGTATATTTAGCACATTTACATTTAAAGTAATTACTGATATGTTAGGGCGTAAGTCTATTATTTTATTTTTTACCTTTGATGTTAGTTCTTCCATTTCTCTTTTTTCTTACCTTCCTATGGATTGTTTCACTATTAGGGTTCCACCTTTTTCTCTTTATACTGTTTTTGAGTATATTACTCTTATCATTTTCTTACTGGTTCCTCTAGGTATTACAGTATACACACATAACTTTAAACAGTCTAGTCATTGTGACATTTTACCACTTTGGATGAAGCATAGAAACCTTACTTCTATTAAGTTCCACTTAATATCCTTATCTTTTAATCATAATTGTCTGAAAAAATTCTTAAACATTGAACATAACATTGCATGGAGTTATAATTTCTGCTTCAACCATCCAATATCATCCAAGAAACACATGAGAAATAGAATAGTATATTTACCCTTCTTTTTATACATTTTGATGGTTTCTATGATACTTCAAGCCTTCTGTTTTGTTTCCTTTCTGTGTAGCTAATCTTCAAGGGTAGATCTTTTAGCAACAGATTATCTCAATTTTACTTTGTATGAGAATATCTTTGTTTTTTCTTCATCTCCAAAACATATAGAGGTCATTGTGGACACATTTTTTTCTTTCACTGCTTAAGAATTGTTATGTTCCTTCTAACCTCTATGATTATAGATGAGAAATATGTAGTCATTCGGATTGATAGCCCCTTTGTTTGTTTGTTTGTTTGTTTGAGATAGGGTCTCTGTGTAGCTCAGGGTGGCCTCAAACTCAGTATCATCTTGCTTTAGCCTCCTGCGTCTGGGATTACAGGTGTGTGCCACCATGCCTGGAGGGTATTTCCTTTTAAGTAATGCATTTTTTCTTTCTAGTTGTTTTCAACATTTTTTTTCTTTAGTTTTCAGAAGTTCAACTACTTTGTGTCCTAATATGGATTTCTTTGAGTTATTCTGTTTGGTATTGCTTAAGCTTCTTGAATCTGTGGGTTTGTAACTTTTGTCAAATTTTGGTAATTTTCAATCTTTTTATTTTCCTGCATACCTTTTCAGTGCTCTTCTTTTTCTAGCACTCTTATTTTACAGATGCAACCTCTTTTATTATTGTCTTACAATGGGACCAGGGATTTAGCTCAGTGGCACTGCACCTGCCTCGCAAGTGCAAGGTCCTAAGTTCAATCCCCAGTACTGCAAAAAACCAAACCAAAACAAAAAAAAACCAGTCTCTAAGACTTTGTAAAAATTTGCTTCTGCCTTTTTCTCCTTGTTGTTCTATAAATTCTAATTATCCCTCCTGAAGTACTTACTGTATCCTCTGTCAGCTCTACTCTAGTATCAAATCATTCAAGTAAGTTTATTATTTATATTTTTTTCTGTTTGATTTTTTTCATGACTTCTATTTATTTGCAGAGATTTTCTATTTTTTCATTTGTTTCAAGACAATTCAAAGGGCTTATAAAAGCCTTTTTTGATGCTTGTTTAAAAATTCTTTTCAGATAATTCCAATATCTTAATGTTGGCCTCTGGGTTGATTATGTTTTTTCTTTAAGGTTGTTACTTTCCTGGTCTTTATAATGACATGTTTTTATTGTATTCTGGACATTTTGTGTATTATGTTTGGAGCATTTGGGTCCTATTTATATCTACTGTTTTTCATGAGGTAGTCCCTTTGTTGAGGTATAGTGCAAAGGACGTGTGCATTTTTGTTTAGTTTCCCATGGGACCTTGTCCATACCACCCAAGCAAAAAATGAAGCACTGACACGTAGTGCCTCTGAGCATGAGTGGTGGTGAAAATTCAGCTCCTCCCTTAACTCCCCTGACTCATTCCCTATGAAATCGGGGCAGTGCATCACACCACTTCATTGCTTCTTTGTGGAGACATAAACTCAGCTCCTAGCTGAGCTCTGGTGATCCCAAATTAAGGGGAAGTGGAAGCTTGACTCATATTGCTTAGTTGATGCAGGGAGAGGCAGAATTGCGTCTTCTTATCACATCTCACTCACTTAAGTGAAGGGAGGGAGCCAGATATCAACTTCTGCCACATGCCACTTCATTTAACCTGATTGGTGCTGGGCTGCCACGGAGGTGTGGCTCTCAACTGGGCCCTGCTCACTAGGTTCAGTAATAGAGAGAAGTGGTGACTAGGCCTGCTTTTTCCATGCTTTTTTCAGTCTTGGTTTCACCCGTGATTATGGAGGCCAAGCTACTCACTAAGTCTTACTGCCCCCGAGGGTGATGGAAATTGGAGGCTTTACTATCTTATACTTGCATTACCTTGTTCAGCTTCAATGAACATGAGTAGATACTAGAGTTTAGAGTCTCTGCTGGGTCCCATTGACACCAGAGCAAAGGTGAAGTCCACTGGTGACTAATCTTGTCTCACATGATATCATGCTGCTGCTAAGTCAGGATTTAAATTTAGTGTGCCATTGGATCCCACCAATAGCTCCCTGTTGGGGAATTGGAGTACTACCTGCTCTGTCAGACAGGAAATTGCTGGTTACCTTCCCACCGAACCTTGCTGATAATGCCCCAGCAGAGGAGCCAGAGCATCGAAGATCAGATGGATACTCAAGCTTTTTAATACCACCTGGCAGACAAATTGGAGCTCCTCATGATTTTTCCTGATGGAAGATGCATATTCTCTCACAAATACTGCTCATACAGGGAGTGGATCACTTTACCTAATAACTGGGGAAGGAGAAAGAGAATCCTATCTGCTTGGCCATACTCACCCAAAAAGATGTCAAGAAGACTCCATCATGCTGATTTGAGATAAGAGGGAGAGAGGGAGTGAAAGGGAGGGAAGGGGGGAGGGAGGACAGATGAGCTATTCTTACAGTAATTGAGTAGATTTTAAAATAATTTTTATTTGATATATTGCCTCCCTTAGGATAATTTCCAGAGATTTTGAATGCTTGTTTTTAAATCATCATTACCTGTTATGTTGTTTTGTTGGGAAGCAGGTACAAAAGCTTCCTCCCTTGCCAAGTCCTCCTGTGTTGTTTTTAAAATATGATCACATTGCACCCTTTTGTTTTTTAGTTCAGTAGTAACTCCTGTGATGGCTTATGGTCAGCTGGATGGGTTGATAAACAAATGGAACCTTGAGGCAGAGGATCAAGAGAAACTCTTTTTACATCAGGCCACCCAAGTCAATGCTTGGGATCATACACTGATCAAGAATGGTGAAAAGGTAATAAACATTAATGTAGGTGCATTGTATAATTTTCTATTGTAATACTGGAGAACAGCTTCGAAATGTTTGCCTTAAATATTAAGTGCCCTAAATTAGGAAATGTTTCATATATGAGATATATTTGAGAAAAAATGATAAGTAAATTCAAATAGTTAGATTATTTCTTTCTTATTTCTCTTTAAAGATTACTGCTTTGCATAGAGAAGTAGAAAATGTGAAGCTTGATCAAAAAAGGTAAAACCTAAGATTTTCTTGATTGAAGGGATTAGAAACCTTTTTTCAATTTTTTTGTATTTTATTTCCATTAATTTTGTTGACTACAGATTCCTTTCATCATACCTTCTCTTGACTTATTTTGTTCAGGTTGGGACAAGAATTATATTTTATCTTGTCTCAGAAGAAAGAATTAGACGATGTACTGACTCCAGATGAATCTGTGAAGGACGAGAGTGGGCCTGTTTATCTCTTGCACGCAGATGAAAAACAGGAGAGGACGTAAGTAACTGAATGAAGCCTAAGGAATGGGGCAGAACTTAACAACTGCTATGACAATATTCCACAAAGAAAGGGGAATATTGACTCAGAAGGGCAGATAATAAATATTGGTAGAAAAGGCAAGTTCTTAGCAGCTGACATTTATCAACTAGTTTGTATTGTGAAGGCTTGAAAATGAAGAAATCATTCTAGCAATTTTGTTTTATAGTATTATGTACACTATTATTAATCTCATTTATGTATGTCCACTCTAAAATTTTTGTGTTTCTGAAGTTTATTGTTAAATTGAAAATACAAATTCTATGTATGTGGCGTCATAGTATTATGGAATATTTATGAACTCTTATTTATGTTTGACTCTTCTAAATCTAATGATGCAGTTGTTTTAGTGTTAAAATTTTTTCTATTTTAAAGGCAGTTTCTTAATCTGGGTATAAACTACATAGCCTTCAAAAGTGGGATGATTTCGTCAATGTCTCAGGTTAGGTGTATTTTATTTGTGAACTATTCAGTCTGTACCTTCTGTCACTCTGTTGCCAATGTTCCTGCAGTTCCTTTATCTCACTGGATCTAAGATTTGGTAATCAGACCAATTTAAAAAGTGCTAGGAAACCTTGTATGAATGTATTACATAATCTAAATTAAGACTACATCAGGGTTGCCGGTGGCACACGCCCTTAATCCCAGCACTCCGGAGGCTGAGGCAGGAGGATCTCTGTGAGTTTAAGACCAGCCTGGGCTACATAGTGAGTTCCAAGTCAGTCTCAACTACATAGTGAGATCCTGTCTCAAAAAACAAAACAACAACAAAACAAGGCCACATCAGGGTCATTTTATCAATGGCTTACTAGAGTTAAAGCTAGGTTTTCTGTTTTTTGAGATGGGGCCTTCCTATGTGGTTCCGATTGGCCATGAACTCCTGAGCTCAACTGATCCTCTTGCCTCTGTCTCCTCACTATTTGAGACTGCAGGCACACATCACTGTATCTGGCTAAGAATATTCTTTTAAAGCTTGTAAGTTAACATTTTTGCGGGGATATTAAATGTGATAAGTACAGCTAATCAGTACTGACCCTAGTTCTGTTTTTCTTTTGTGTTTCAGCTTTTGTTAATATGTCTCTGCATTTTCTCTTTCTTTCCTTTTTTTTTTCTGGTACCAGCATCCAACTCAGGACCTTGCACTTGCTGTGCAAGCAGCAGCACCACTGAGCTAAATCTCTTCTCATCTCGTCTCGTCGCTTCGCTTCTCTTCGCTTCTCTTCGCTGCTCTTCTCTCTTCTCTTCTCTTTCTTTTCTTGTCCTGTTTCCTGCATGTGTTAGTTACTCTTCTCTTGTTGCTGAGACAAAATACCCAGCATCAAAAGTTAAAGGGGAAGGGGGTTTATTTGGCTTACAGTTTGTAGAGGTTTCAATCCATAATCAGCCAACTCCAAGGCAGGGATGACAAACAGTCATGGCGGAGCAGGGATGCACAAGACAGCAGAGATAACAAGGGGGAGGTTAACAACATCTCCCAGCCCCTTTTGTCTTATTCAGACTACTTAGGACGGGTAGCACTCACACCCTTCATCCTAGTGCCCTTGAGCCTAGCATTGCACCGTGAATCAATTCCAGCTTCACACACTCTAGATCAAGCTTGTGACCACATGAGGCTTTTGGGGGGCATCTACACCCACAATCATAACAATGCATTTTATAATGTTTTCAAAACATAGTTACGTTTTTGCTCATAAGATCGTAAGTATAGTTTGCAAACTCTTTGAAACATTAATTCCTTTTCAGTGTCTTTGTAGTTCAATTTATATTGTGATAAAACTTTCACCAAAATCAACAATTTAGGCAACCTACAGGAACTTTGGCATAGAAAGGTAGTGGATAGTAAGCAATAAATCTAATTGAATGTTTTAATTTTTGTAGACATTAAGGATGAAAATCTTCTGGCTGCATTAATTCTTATAAACATGCTCATTGATTAGGTTAAATTTGTGTGTATATATGTGTCTATAATAAATACTTGGGAGAAAATTTTGAGAATTTAGGTCACTAGTCTATCACAAGTTTAAATTTATCTTCCTGTTATTATCGTAAAACTCATTTCTCAAAACATCTTTTATCAAATATATGTTTTTTACTTTAAAATTTATGTATTCACTATCATTAAAGACATCTCAGCATTTATTGAATTTTGTTAAACTAACTTCTCTTATATAATTAAATATCTTATGGGAGTATTTTGCCATTTAAAAAGAGTTCTTTTGCTTCAGAATTCACCAGAGCATTAGAGATTAAATAGATTTCAGTAAAAATGAGAAGGTGGATAAACCTTTACGGTCTTCTTAGAATATGGTGGCAATAAAATCAAGAACACTATACCCACAAAATGTGACATCAGTTGTAACTGAAACCCTGTGAGAGATGGAGGAATTGAGACAAATCCAGTTGGCCCTATCTTTGTCAATAACAATGATTGTAGGAAAACACTTTTTGTTAATTCTTTAATTTTACCTGCTTTTGGATTTACAGAATAGCAGAAAAATATAGATGCTCAGCTGAGACAAATGTCCCAAGATTGGTTACCTGAATATATTTAGAAGTCCTGTTGACACTTCTGACCCATTGTGTTTACATTTTTATGTATTCAGACAAAAGGATTTATTATAAAATTAGCATTCTATGGGTCTTTCAGTCACTTTTCCCTGCCTTTTACTGTGCTCCTTATCAGCCTTTAGTTTTAAAGATCTTGGGTGTGGTTATAGGGCAGGAAATATTTACAGGCAGAAATAGTTGTGATTTTTTTTTGTGATTATTCCTAGGAGGGATGAAAAAAATCACTCCTTTTGTTATTTTCAGGGTTTTTTTCTTGTTTGTGTAATTAAGTATGTCCCTTATTTACTTTTCTGTTCACTTTCTCATTAGCTAGTTCATTTTCTCTTTTGCACATTTATTTAAGTATTCATAAAAATGTATCTGTTAGGCCTATCCAGGCAAGTCTTAATTTATGAGTAGGTTATATCTTTAAAATGTGGTGAGTTAAATAATGAGACCAACATATTTTTCCACAGAAATTTTGTTAAATGTGGTCATTAGGTCTCCTGTTGAATACTACTTAGCCATGATGTAAATGCACTATATCATGGGGAAATAAAGCTGCAGCTCCAATTAGAATTGAGACGCTGTAAATTAATTTGGCCATAAGAAAGAATTGGTTCCACCCCCTTTTCTATGCTCTAATTACAGAGTTTATTTCCTCTATATTTTCCTGTTGTCTTAGCAACTAAATAGAGTTCTTTTTCCCCACTCCCACTCCATGGCAGTCATGTTAAGAGGAATCTCCCACTCCTACCATACTGTCTACCTGTTAATTATAAGTAGAATTAGGGACAAAGTCTGGGTAGATGAGAATGAATGACAAATATAAGCAGTGATTGCTCCTTGGTAAGCTCTTTGTCCACTATGTACTCAGAGTTCATTATCAACATATATAATCAGCTTTTTTAATTATAAAGGGATAGAATATTACAGTTGAGAAAGAATTAGAATTTTAAGTCATTTTAACTCTCTGGGTCTTGGCTCCTTCTTTTGCAAAATGTCAAGGATAGAATAAATGGTCTTTAAGTCCCTTCCAGGTATAAAAATTCTACCTTTCTGTACTTTGGGTGAATGTGAAGTTGAACAAAGACAAATATAAATTAGTCTGGGATTATGCGTGCTGCCATCTCCCTGTGTTCACAGAGATGATCAGAAGTTGACAAAATACAGTTTAAGTAAATATTAGATCACTACCGCAATTGCAAAATTCAAAATTTTTTTATTGTAATAGAATTTTGATGCATAGACAAACACATGCAGATTTAGATATAAGAAGTGTTCTCGGCAAAGTAAGTAAAGGGTTACTGTAATCCTGTCTGTCCTTTTTCTCTGCCTTCCTGGATTTTTTAATTTTCTTTTAGTAGCGAATAGTAAATAGTTTGAGTCTTTATTTTTGTTCTTCCTGGCAGAAGTAATTGGGGTATTTAGGATGAGTGAGTTAAAGGGTAATTACTGTTACAGAGCAAAAGAAGCACAATGTCAACACCAACTCATCAATAACATTCCTGTAGATAATTTATTATAACAATTAATAAAGCTTTGTTACTATTAGCCATATATCAGGGTAGAAAAATAGCAGCTGTATATATTCCAGTGTTCATGATGATAAGATTCATTTGTTTTTATTTCCCTTTCTTTGGGGGAATGGGGAGGGAGTGGGAGAGACCACCTAGTATTTAACATTTCTATTAAGCAAGCTCGTTTTATTCTCTATTTTATTCATTTTTATTCTCATTTATTCACTTTCTTATAAAATCCATAAAAAGAATCAAATCGCTTATATTAGCAGTACCCTTCTACTGTATTGATGTATTTCTTCCAGGTCTTTGCTATGCTGGTAAAAATGTTGCTTTTGTTTTACTCAACATTGGAAACATACCTATAGTATAGTTTTTTGTTTTCTGTCTTCATTTAATACTGTTTCATGGACTTTTTTCAAAATTTTTACCATTCTTTGAAAGCATGAGTTTTATTAGTGCTATGATATTTAATCAAAGTTGACTTTGCTGTAATATTTATTTTTTAATCATTTTAATTGGTAGACATCGTTTCTAATTTTGGTCAATATGAAATACTTTTATAATGACTAGTATACTTCATTTTGATTATTTCCTCTGGATAGACTCCTAAAAGAATATTTTGAGAGAAAAGGTATGAACATTTAAACTTTAGATACAGTGGACCCTTGACTTAAGAACTTGATTGGTTCCCGAGGGCTGATTGTAATTCAAGTTGGTTGTAAATCAGTACAGCTGAGATCTGGATGTTTACCTGGGTACACACTCTAGATGGCAAGAGGTGAATGAATCTTCCATTAACCTAACTAACCCAGGTTCTTTGTATATCGGGTCAGTCATAACTTGAAGGTCCACTGTATATAAAAATTTATATCATTAACAGGGTAGGCCTAG